TCCCAACTACCCCCGTATTAAGCGGGGTCGCTGGCCATAAGCTGAAGTATTGCCTTCTCCGGACGCCTCATCTCTCGCGGCATCTGCTGCAGGACAGCTTTGGACTTTCCGAGAGCACGGATAGCCAGCAGAACCTGCAGGAAAGGAAGCGGCGTGCCTCAAGATCAAAGTTCCCCGGCTCGGGTCCCGGCCATCGCGGCCTGCATTTGCTCGACATCGGGATCCTTATCCGCATCTCAAGTTCTAGGCAAATGCAGGCACATTGCAGTGCAGGCCTTCGAGGCTACCGACTCGAGGCACCTTGTGCAAAAACCTCTGTGGCAAAGGAGCCGAGGCCGGGGCTATCCAGCGAAGCAGAGACTGCAACTCCGACCACTGCGTCTCATCCAGCCGTTGATGAGGAGCCTGCGGATGAGTGAAGATGTCGTAGCGGTTCTTGTAAAGCGCCAACACGCTGATGCACGAGGACTCTGCCCTCTCTCTTTCAGCCGGCTGCTCAAACACCACGTGTGGACTGTGCTCGAAGTGCAGCTCGGGAATGACAAGCTGTAGTTCTTCGGCCAGCTTGTACGTTTCCATGGCACGGACACCCAAGCCTTTCAAGTACAAGTCCAAGCCGGGGTTGATGTTCTCAGCGGAAACATCCAGGCGAGGCCACAGGCTTGTGATCGAGGCATCTGGATGAACCTGAAAATGATCAACGTTCGATTCCGGGGCTTCGGAATTCCTCAGCTCCTGGTCCTGGGCTGTGCCTGTTGCGGGCCTTCCTTGCTTGCGGATGAAGCGCAAGATTGAGAAGCTTTTGGAGCTGGTGGCAGCGGCGGCATCGCCTCGCTTCAAAGGGATTGTGATGTTCTTGAGCTGCGTCTTTGGGTCTGGATAAAGCTCCTGGTAGTGTTGGTTTTTCCTGCAACATGTGGCGGCGCAGTGAACCTGCTCTTCATCTCCACACTTCGTCTTGCTGGTCTGCATGGCAGACACGAACTCCTGCGCCAATGGCGGGAAGCAAAGGCGCGCACTCTCAGTTCTTCATTCGACGCCGCGAATGCACGGCCTAAACTGCTCCACTTCCCTCTAGTTGGGTCCTTGGCATAATCGCAGAACATGGTGGCGCCTGTGCAGGCGGGAGTCTAGTGCAAAAACTTAAAACACTAGCCGCCGAGCCGAGGTGCATCCGCGCGACTGGCTTACGCATCGTGCCAGGTCTAGCCCTCGCAGAGAGAACGTTTCACAGAAGGTCTGCGCCGAAAGCGTCGACCTCGGCAGCTCCCAACACGCACTGCACACACTGCACAGAAGCGCAGGGTTTGCCCGGGCTCCGGCTGATGCAAAGTACCGTCGGCATAGAGCGACAACTCCCCGAACCACTTGGTGCCTGTGAACTCTGCCGCATCACCTTCGGCGTCAAAGCCTGTCGGTACCACAAACTTCTAGTTCGCAGGTGTGCACCGATCTGCCCCGACCCTGAGACGCTTGATCCCGCCGCAACAAGCCTTTGCCGCACCCCGTCCCCATTCCCTGCTGTGTACGGAATCACAGAAACCTACCCAAGATGTACCAAGATGATGCTCAAGACGCCCGAAGGCGGGGCAACACACACGTTCTAGTGACTCTGGTGACATTGCTTGCTCGTGGAAAAGCAAGAAACAAAATCACTCTATTATAAGGTCTGCGGTCTGCAAAAATCAAGCCATCGGCTTGGCCTTCGATATAGCTGTAGGTGCCAGTAGCAGTGATGTGAAGGCAAGACACCCAAGAACCAGCAATAAATATGTGTTCGCCCTTCTCGTACACGTGCTTCTCCAGGGCTGCGCAGAGGGAGCCGAAAACGTCTGAATAGCACTCCTGCAAGAGCTTGAAAATTGGAAGCTCAAGCACGTGGATGCTTCTTTGACTCACATACAGTTCCAGTTGCAGCGTGGGCGAGATCAACGATGTATCTAAAGACGTGGATGAAAACTTTTCCAGCCGATACTCGACGAAGCGCATGATTCGTGACACCAGCTCGAAAGGCACATGTTGGTGACTGAGATATTGTCTCACTTCTCGTCGCCGGCGGTCCCTTGCTTCGTTCATAGCACGCAGCTCCGCGAGTGTGTCGGAAATTTTCGAAATTCCCATACCCATCGCAGCGAGACAAAAAATGGACACTAGAATGTCAGCGCCCCTTTCCAACCCACTCCCTGCATCCAAGAGTGGAGGCGCTGGTGCATTGATTATCCAACGCATAGCATGAAGGTACTGGACCCATTCCGGAACGCTGTCGGCATCTGCGAGCTGGGTCCAGCTTTGGACTTCTTGGGTCTCTTCCACACTACGTCCGATCGCATACCACATGCATGTCAATAGGTGTGCACAGAAAGCCATGGCGATCGCAGTGCTTGTGATGCCAGTGATAACGCCAAGCGACTGATGCCCGCTATTCGCTGCGCTTTCTTCGATAATGGCATTGACCCTCGTAAGCTTCAATATTCGCAAGAGTCGTAACAGTCTCAGAACCCGCGAGACCCGAAACAGCCGAAGTTCTGCCGACAAGCTTGTCTCGGACAGGCCATAGCCGACATCAAGAGTCAGCAAAAGCACGTCGAAAAACAGCCAGCCACGCATGTAGCTCGCAAGAATGCTCGAGTATCCCGTCTTTAAAACTCCTTTGTGGTAGGTGGCGGTGTTCATGTTCACGAACAAATCAGCGGTCCAAAACGCTAAACTTATCCAGAAGCTGAACCACAAGAAAGAAGCGAAGCCCTCGGATATCCCCATTTGTACGTTCCAGGCCAAAGCTGGTGGCAATGTGATGCTGTCGCCGACTATCAACACCATGGCGCTGATGTCCCAGCAAATCCTGAAAGCGCCATAGGGGTGGAACGGCTTAATGACCTGACTGTTGGGAAGCTTGGAATGCCGCCCGCCGATCATACTTAAGCGCGCATAAGCCTTCTGCCTTGTGTTGGTGGTTGGGCCCTCGACAGCAATACTCTGGGTGGCCATGTCCATCCAGCGGCTGTGTAGACGGATCTGGGTGCCGGCATCTGCAGCTTCAGACCGAGATGCCACAGCCCCTGTCTTAGATGCGGAAGCATGCCTTCTTGCAGCCCTCATCTGCCTGTAAGCAAGAATCGCACCAGGTTCTTGCAAAGTGCCGGGCGGCACAGTTGGAAGCCGTTGCGACCCTTCTTGCTGCTTCGACGGAACACCTCCTGAAGGTTCCACTGTCTCCATGACGCAGCGCAAGCCCTTAACCTGCCGACTTGCAGTTTCTAAGGATTGAAGAGAGCGCTGCAACTCTTCTTCGATGCCGGCGACCTTTTCCCACATCTTGCTGCTGTGCCCGGCAACCATTGCAGCTGGTGCCCCCTACAAGACCTTCATGCTTGAGCCAAAGTCGACACGTCAGAGCTACGGGGGCCTTGGGCCATCGCCGTCCAGGTTTGAACTGTTCCTACAGATACGCTGAAATGGGAGAAAGTTGACAGACCTACACGTGGGGCCAGTCCTTCACAGTAACCTCTGAAGCACCAGCGTCACATCTTTACGCACGATTTTGACTCGCAGGCATAAGCACCACTCGTGGCAGACAAGGGCCGTCACGTCGAAACAAATGCGTGTGCCAGAGTGCAAAACATTGTGTGCAGCTTCCTTGGCGGCAGCTGCGTGTGCTGACGCGCTGGCACAAAGGGCATGAATATGACCGCGCATCTGGGTCACGAGCACCTTGAGATCAACGCACCGGCATGGCAGCACAGACCGGCCTGCGCATGACATCACAGGACAGTCAGTGCTGAACTGTCCACAAACAAGCTGCCGAGCGCGAAAGCCCTCTGGACAGGGAAGGGCAGGAAGCACACGAGCTGCCTGGAAGACATGCTTGGGCCGACCTTGGCAACCTGCCCCACAGGAGCGCATCCGCATCCGTCTCTCTGTGGTCGAGTTTGGGGCGAAAGGCCATGGCCACTCGGTAAGTGACTTGGGACAAAGGGCATTGCACCTCAGCGCTGCGAGAATCAGGGGATATGCGAGAACCCCACAACCCCGACCGACCGCCCGACCGACCGGGGTCCCGTTGAAAGGAAGAATCAGCTTGAGAGGCGCCAGGGCCGGGGCCAGCAGGGCGCGACGGTGACGTTTGTCAGATCCGCGCGGCTCGCGATCGCGATCGCGCCCTGCATCCCGCCGGGCGCTGGTCCGACCTGGGCCAGGCCGCCATCGCCGCTCAGCGACCAGAGCCCAAGCCTCACAGGGCTACGGACCCCGCCGTCGACGTCACGCGCGCTCGGTGCAAGGAGCCCCCTCCTGCATGCGCGTCTTAGCCAGACCTTATAAGTCGGCCACCGTGTTGCCGCGAGGGGCTTGCATCGGAATTGATAAGATCTCTGGCCCTGCTGGCTTGGGAACATACAGCCGGTCAGCCGGCTGCTATGAAGAGTCCCTCGTTTCTGTGGCGGTGCCACATCCGGAGTGTTGGCGTCGCGAGCCCTTCCGCTCGAGCATGCGGTCGCACGTGTGTGCCGGGAAGGCGGCGCGCGTGTTGCACGCAACGTCCGGCTTGCTGACATGAACATCGATGTTCCCGTCAGCGACGCG